ATTTCAGCTGTATCTTGTGCTTCCTTGAAAACTTTCAGCTTGAATCTAAATCATGACAAATTTAAATACAAACCACATCACAGTCATGCGAACATACAGCCACACATACTAAATAAACCCAGCAATGAGCCAAGGCAGACCATAATGTGTGGCAATGTTTGGATGTATTTTTGTTCAAGGGAGTTGCTTCCTGTGGAGCTGTATTTTACAATGTGCCTGTACGCTTGAAAGCTTTCAGCTTGAATCTAAATCATGACAAATTAAAATACAAACCACATCACAGTCATGCGAACAAACAGCCACACATACTAAATCCAACATAATTTTGACTTGGACTTTATTGATATATAAAATGTCAGAAAATGGTGAAAGGTGTCTATCACAAATTCCTAAAGCAGCCTTCAAATGTCTTGTTTTGTCCAACCACTACCAGAACTGTGCAAAAATATTCAGCTGACAATTAAAAGAAACTGTTTATTTATACATTTGAGAAGTTGAGATAAGACACATTCGACTCAAAATGATTAATTTTCAAATTAATTGCCGATTAATTTTATGTCCACTAACTGATTATACAACTAATCGTTGCAGACCTAGCTGAGTTTTCTGCCAAATCACTGCAGGACTGAAAAACGTCTATGGTTGTAAAATGATGTACTGTATTTTTATTTTGGGGTACACCTAAAACATTTATGGAAATGTATTTGTTCATTTGTCTTCTTTATGTCATCATCATCAAAGCTACTGTAAGCTTGTACTTGGATGATTCACCCTGTAGTAATTTAAGGGAAATTTTCCCATGGCACTCATTTGAGGTAAGTTAAGTGCGAGTACTCCAGCGACATCAATAAGCACTTAAATCTTTCAAACATCAATACAAATGTAAAAATAAAGTCCTACCACTGTCATACTGATGGCTGGCAAAATGTATATAATCATAACAGCATAATGTATCTTGTTTTTTCATGATGATGAGCAGTGTGTATATGTGTTGTGTAAGAGCTGATGAGACAAAAACAGAGTACTAATATGATTTAGGAGGAGGATGGCAGGAAGCAGAAAGCACTAATGCAATGGCTCCTGCATTAAGTCGGTAAAGATTGGCCACAAAGCACTGTAAACGCACACACAATAAAGACAATGAAAAAAAATGCATAATCATCCATATATCCATAATACATGAACACTCTTCCTATCTATGCATATTGCTGGTGACAAAATTCCAGTCACACTAAAAAGATGTCCTCTGTCTTACTCCTGAAACACCAGAAATATCCTCTCTCCAGTCTGACTGGTGAAAGAACACTGCTACCTGTCAACTCACATCATAGGTGAAAGAGAGGAAGAGCAGGAGAGGGATAGAAAGAGGGAGAGAAAGAGAACTGGAGAATTGGAGGGATATGTTATCACTAGCTTTCCTTGGGCATTTGGGTTTATTTGGCTTGTCACCAACTCCTCGGTGGGAGGATGACAGGAGAGGATATCAGTAGCTGAATGTGTGTCTGAGCATGTGTGCTGCAGTGCTTTGCTGTTATTTCCTACAAAGCTGTTAAGTTCTCCTGAAGAAGCTTGTGTGTGCCTGTTTGTCTTCTTTTTCAGGCTTTTGTCAATTCTTCTGTTGAGTTGATTGTTCTGCTGATGGCTGACGAGGATGTGAGAGTAACCATCAGCCAAGCAAACATGCCCACACACAATACAGTGTCACAGTAAAATAGCAAGCACGTTGGTAGTCAAGGCTGCCTTTTATGAGCATTCACGTGTCACTGAGTCCCATTTAGCGCTCTTCTTCTGAGACTTCACCGTCATGCAGTGACGCAGACCCCATCCAACACCAAAACCCACACAAGCTCCAATCTCCTAACCGAAATCTACATTCTCTATCTGATCCTTCATAAAGTAAAATAAAATCCCCCAAATACTCAAATCTCAATCCAAACAGATGTCCTTTAGTCTGTAATTCCTTTTACTCTTGATGGCTCGCCTTTTCCCTGGTGATAGATCTGTGATTAGAGGAACTCAGGCTGAATCTTCTCATTATCTTTATGCGAGGACTAATCCGAATGCTTGCTGGTGATTTTAAACTGGATTCTCTTTAAATCTTGCCTACCCCATGCTGGGAAAGGCCACTGCTTTAGGGAGCTTACCCTCTAGCCCACACCTCATTAAAGGTGCTGGATGGGATCGGGGATGTCATTAGTGGAAAACATCTGAGGTTCAGTGCTTTAGATGACCCCTGGCAGTCTATGAAGTATTTCAGGCTGAATTTATAAAGACAGTTTGTCATTAACTTTGTCAAGGATGCTAATACTGTTAACAAGATATTAATGCATGTTGGATTTGGGAGAATTATCTCTGCAAGTCCAGAGCTGCTGCCCATGAACATACAAGTCAAGTAATTCTCTAAATCCAATTAATAAAAAGCTTTTCATCAGTGGTTAAATGTGTGTCCGAGTAGAGAAAAACAGATAATACTGAGGGTAATCCCAAATCATCTCACAAGATAAACATACAGGCCCAACCTTGAAATATCCTGGATTACTTGTCTTCTGTGTGTGTGGGAGGGCGCCTATCCCCTTTAAGTGCATAGATGCTCTTGGGTTATACATTACATCCTGATTAAACTTCCTTGGCATTCTTCATTAGCTATTAGTACTGCTGTAAAATAATCTGAAAAGGACAGTGTCACAGTGCGTGCCACCAGCTGTCTGCAGCAAAAGAACAGAGCTAAAAGCTAACATGCCCATCAGCAGGCCGTGACCGACTCAAAGGTTGGTTCATCACGATATATAATATTGTGCAGTACTGGGACACATTGCTTGCATGTATGTAGGAATCAGATGAGGTGTAGGTGTAAGTGTGTATGGGAAGGGAAGGAGAGGAACACTGGGAATGATCAGCTGAAACCAATTAGCTGTGTGTCCCATCGGAAATGAAGAAAATGATATGAAAAAGGATGAGTCTACACCTGCAAGCTACAGGGAAAGTTACAATTAACCTTTTCCCTAACACACATGAGTGTACTCCCACAATTATCCTACACACCTTTTCTTGATAAACCCCTGGCAGGCTGTGGTACACTTTAATGACCCAAAGCTACCAGGGACACCACATAGAAATTTAGGTCTCTGGCTATTACTCCAATGTCCCTCTCCTTCTCTTAGCCTGTCTCCATCCCTCTCTCTCATTTATCTCCCTGTGTGAATGAAGCCCTGTTCTTCCACTTTCTCCCATAAATCTCAATTCATTCCCTGTTCCTCCCTCTGCCTTCTTTCTGTTTATTTTTCCCTTCTCCTCACCTGGCTGTGGCCAGCAACATCACAACAGGAACTAAAAACAAGGTCACACAAAGATACACATATCACATGTACACACACCTCATGTACAGCACACACACACAGAAGGCGCCAGGGGCAAGGTTACACACGCTGTGATTTGGGGCTGTGCTGCAGGAGGCAAGCTACAGAAGAGAAAAAGAGGAAACGAGGAGAGAGGAAGAAGACAGAGAGAGGCATGACACTGAAAATTATTTCCTCATATCAAGTCAGATATAATGACCTTCTGCACTACTCTCTCCCCAGGTCCCTCACACTCTGATGCTATCTGCATCTGCCAAGAGGGAGGGATAAGAAAATGAGCAATAGATACAGAGAGAGAAACACGAATGTACAGACAGTGTGTGTGTGTGTGTGTGAGTGTATTGATGAATAATGGATGATAGGTGCATATTCAGACCCTGGTTTGACCTATTAGTCACAAACTCAGTCATCATTCTCATAACACACACCTCCAACAGCTAAAACTGCGGATAGACACTGTGTCCCGACACGTTTGCCCTCGATGTGTGTGACAGTGTATATACACGGAGGCATGCATGTGTGTGTCTGTATATTTCTAGTGTGCGCATGGTAGCTTGCTAACTACCTGCCCATGCCACCACCCCTTCAGATTCCCCTCGCTCCTCCTACATGTTGCCCCCAGTAACAGGGGGAGGAAGTGGGGGAGGGAGGTCGGGGGTAGGATAGTGACCATCTGTCAGCGTCCCAGAGATCAATGGAACTAGAAGGGAGGAGGGACAGTAGGGGTGAGGAGGGTGAGGGAATAGCACGAGGCAAAATATGTGGCACACTGTGACCGGAGCCTGGTTCAATATGTTGCCGTTTTATTTACCGACTGAAAACACACACCCCACTAGTCCCACTCACACGGCCTTTATTAACAAATGGCTGATTTTGGTGTGAGCCAGGAGACTGCGGTACTGATATGAAACATGCAGGCTCTTAACTGCTGCACACACTGATGCATCTATGTGAGGACTGCTTTCAATTTAAAAATATGCTGCCATGCAAACCATGACTGTTTGTGACATGAGTTTGTGACAGAAAACAAAGATAGATATACAATGAGAGGAGAAAGAGGGAGGGGGGCATTTGATTGGTTAATATATATCTAGCTCGCCGTGGCAGTGGGTCAGAGACTAGGACAAAACACTCTAGTGCTAGCTAATGAATTAACTACAAAACAATGTCAGCCCTCTAGAAATGCTTAAATCAACTGCTTCATGGGAGTGCACAACACTAATGCATTAACTACACACACATTTAAGCAAACACATACAAAATAAATCAAATTTACTCATATGAACAAAGCATATTTGAATGCTACATTCATGTAAGCAGGAAGGCTCTCGCCACTGTATGGTGAAAAGTACTTAGCAAACCACACTGACATTATTCTTTGCTGCAATATAGACTGAACTCATTTAAAATTCACCGTTGATGCTGGAGCTAGAGCCTGAGCTGGAGGCAACGGTTTGGGTGTGGAGAGGCAAAGACAGCACCAGAGGATAGTGGAGGAGAGGAGAGGGTGTAAATGTTACTCAGTCTCCAGTGAATCAATAACAAGTAAGTGAACTTGTTGACATAACTGTAGTCTATGCAGTTTGTCCCAGGCTTGAACCTGTATATTTTCATGCAAAACAGAGATAGGAATAACAGACTCACCAATCATCTGGCTGAAGAGTAACTGCTCCAGGTCTCCCAGAACTGTCACCACTAACTCTGGATCCACCTTCAGAAAGCCCTTATCATCTTCTCCCTCCAGCCCTTTCTTTTCTTTATTCTCCTCTGTTGACAAAGCAGCAGATTTTCCCCTCTCCCCTGGCTTATTCCCATTAGTCCCAGTATTCCCAGCTCCTATGGAGTTACCCTTAGTCGGTCGGTCAGCAGGGTCTGTGTCGGCACCCTGGCCCGCCTCAGATGCCTTGCTGATGGGCTTAACCTCTGCATAAGGTCCGCGTGCTTTACCAGGGGCAGGGATTCGACTAGGCTTCCCCACATTAGAAGTCATAGTCTGAGAACAGAGAGGTTTGGGTTTCCCCTGGAAGAGAGACTGTTCTGACTTTGAAAGTGTCCGGGATAGAGGTGTTCTTCCGCAACCAGTCTGACCTGTCTTAGTCTGGCCTGCTTTGCTGGTGCCAGTGCCAGACCGACTTGTGTCATCATTCCAGCGGGGAGATTGGTACAGGTGCAGCTTCTTCTCAGCATCAGTTAGCACAGACAAGTTGCTAAGTGACTGCTGCTTGCGGAGCCTAGATGTATTGGGGATTGGAACAGGGATAGATCCAGAGGTGGGCCGGTAGACCTTGAGCTCTGAGGGACGTGAAGGGCCCTGGGGCAAAGCGGAGGGCTTGGCCAAGGGTTTCCTAGAGGCCATGGCCTGGGCTGAAGTATCCTGGCAGGTGACAGCAGCAGACCTGAGGTCCAGCTCTCTGGGCTTAGCTGTCATGCTAATGTTAGCCACATTAGCCTCCAGCATCCCTCCTGCAGGAGCCAAGCAACAACATCAGTGACATACTCTGAAACACACACAAGCAGACTGAAAGAATGAAGGCAGAAAAGAGAGGAAAGAATGGTGTAAAAACACCAAGACTGTCTGGTTTGCTCTTTCTCTTTGCCTCTGTGTCTCCACTGAGTCCAGATTGAGCCAGACTCCCCACTGTGTAAGACTGTGGATTCACCCCTCTTTCGAAAATGACGAGCGGGTTAATAGAGTGGCAGTAGCAGTCACCCTTAATCACTGCTGGTAATCCATAGATCTGCAGATCTGTGTCCAGTGCCTAGATCCAGTCCCTCACAGCATGTCTGCAGCTCCATGTACCACACAGATGACAGTAGTTCTGAAAAAAACACAGCACTGATCAGCCTCTTCCCCCGTCTCCCCCTTGCTCTGTATTCTCTTCTGCTTGCCAGGCGAGCGGCAGTCGACTGACAGGAGAAACAGTCGCAGCAGCGGCAACATCCCCCCTCCTCCTCTCTCTCTCTCCTCCCTCTCTCTCACTCGCTCATTTGCTCTCTCTACCCCTGCTGGCTCATTAACCCTCCCTCTCCTTCTTCCTCCTTTTTCCTTCTCCTTTTCTTTCCTGTTGTTTCTCGCTCTCTCTTCTCTCACAGGCTGAATCACCCGCAGTTCCCCTCTCTCACCAGTGGGTGCAAACATAAGGGCTAGGTGATAAATGATCAGCATCTTGTATTAACTAAGCTCTTCCCTGTTCCCGTGTTTCAATAGCAGCTCTCTTGTCTCCTCTTACAAAACCATGCTTCATCCTTTTGTTCTTGTCTCTTTCTTTTGGAAAGAAAGAAAGACAAATATTTATATTGTGCTCAAATGAGTGTAACTAAAATTATTTTGGATGCAGCCAGGGTAAAGACCTCTGCATGCACACACATAATCACATTAGCTGCTGTATTCATTCATTCACATTCTGCTTTTCTTATGTGTCCTAATCATAAGAGGCCCATCCATGATTAAGCTTAAATCAAATGATCTGAAAAACAGCCATGACTGCAGGATCAGCTTAGGAGGGGAGAACAGGACACACATTTACAAGTCCCACATATACAGCTCTATACGTCAGTCACTAATTATGCTTCCATTAGTAGCCAACAGACCTCAAATGATGATCGCATTATCCCCACATACCTCATTTTACTTTTCCAGTCTCTTTTCTCATTTCCTTCCTCCAGACCCACCCCTCTCCAGTTAATATACATACACAGGCCATTAAGTTTGCAGTTTGACTACAGATTGGTCACATTCTCATCTGTCCCTCTGTACACCCATTATGCTACTTCACTGGATTATAACAAGCGCACATGTGCATGTGTGGGTGTGTGAATGAGTTCTAGTGTCTATATTTTTGACAATCCTCGCCTGCATGCACAGGTCTGTTTCTATGAGTGTGTCACATTGATGAGACAGGCCCAGAGGAAACAAAGCTCCCATCCAGGGAGCAGGGTTAGTTGTGGCGTGTTCAGCTACATCATCTGATCATTCTGGACATCCCTTCTCAATCGACACAAGACACAGGAAGACACAGGAGTAACAGAGTTTTCTCCATCCTCTTTTGCCTCATCCTGTTTATTTTTCCTTTGTTTCACTATTATTATCATCCCTGCCTGACCTGGATTTAAATATTTAGAATCTGTTCCTGTTATCCCTCCTAACACACAAGGCTGGGTGGAGATCCAATAAGAGTAACAGAGTAAAAGAAAGAGCATGAAGTCATCGTTTCTCACCGGTCTTTATTTTCCATTAGAGGCAATCATCACAGGGCAGAAAATGAACTTTAGCTCCATCATTAACAATCAATAGAACTGTTTTTGCAGTACAACTTATTTTTGCCTGTTAATGCATCTTGCCTTGCGCATAGGCCTCATCACTTAACTGGTAGAGTATTTATGCTCTGGGCGTATTCCAACTAGCAGACCTCACTTCATGCAGCAATGCCTGCAGCAATGATGTTATCAGACCGCCAACAGTTTGTAGTAGCATTTAAAGAAGCAGGCTGTTTGACTAATGCTCATTTTCAGTTACATTTGCATAAATCGGTTGACACTATACCAGTGTGAAAAGAGGTAACATCCTGTTTCCTCACATTGCACACTCAGCATTAGAGAGGCATTTTAAATGGCTTATTTTTCAACAGTAAACTTGATAATATTATTTGAACCAAAAAACAAAATGACAGTGACACACATTAGGGGACAGTGTAGTGCATTTGTCTGACCTTGAATGTGTGTGTGTAATACAGGAGCTGAGTAGCAGACAAAAACATAAACATACTTTATCTGTTTTACTGTGCAAAGGCCAAAACCATTAATTAGAAGCAGCTAGCTTTAATAAAGGGCCAATGTTGAGGTGGTTATGCCACACTGCCAGAGCTGTGTGGTGACGCTTACGGGGGCTATGAGAGCTGGTAGAAGGCTAGTAGAAGAGTAAGGGATGTAATTTAAGGCTAATAGGTGCTGCATGTCAGCTCTTATGCCTCCCTGATGAGGGATTAAGGTTAGTTTAACAGGAGTGACGATATACAAGGCAGGTCTGTGTGGTGGACAAATGCTTGAGGGGCAAAGACGCGTCAGTGTTCTTGAAAGTATGTAAACACACAGGTAAAGTGTGTTGGCAACACACAGCTACTTGTTTGTTCCAATACTCGTCTCCTTGGCTCCACAGTATAATCACTTTAATATATGGCTGATCTAAACATATTCTTTCACTCTACTTCTGCTTAGTCTCTCTCTCTCTCTCTCTCACATTACACACACAACATGCTGTATGTGCAGGGTGTCTGACTGACTTAAGCAGTCTGGCCTAACATTTAAAAAAACTGGCAGTTTCAGAGAGTAGTAAGTGCCAGTGCTCACTATTAAATTACACATTTAGCACATAGCAGCCTCATGCATTCAGTATGGTACAGGTGTGTGTGTGTATGTGTGTGTGTGTGTGAGAAAACGCATTTGTGGACTGACCATAGTGGCTACAGCTTTGGGAACATCGTCACGATTATGCGCTTACACACATAAAGACACTTTTAAGCAAAGGTAAGTAAAAGTAACAGGGGTGTAGACAGAGATATAGTGATGAATGGACAGATTGAAAACAAAATTAGAGAGAGAGAGAGACAGGCAGGCAGAAGGAGGCAGAGTGTCTCAATACTTTGCATGAGTATATTTGCCCTAGCGTCTGTAAACAGTGTGGAACAGCTTTGCCACTATATTTCTACACAGCACTCATAGCCAGTAGGACACACAGAGACACTTTGTGGCACATCATATGCATGTTTACAAAGTTGCACAAGGTCTCCAACTTTAAAAGGAAAATTACTGCAAGAGAAGAGGAAAGCACTGCTGCTTTGGAGGCAACTAATTGTATCAGCATAACTTTAAGAGGAACAGTTCTCATCTGACTAAACAGATGGCATGCTTATTTTCACCCACTCCCTGTTGTCAGTCACTCCTGGGTTCCTCTTGTTGAGTCTTTTTGTGCAAAAGCAAAAGCAAAAGAAAAAAAAACTTGTTCAAAACATGAAACAAGTGTGAATTGGGTGGAGAAGTGAGAAGGAAATGATGAAAGTGAGTGTGACTGAGAATAAAAGAGGAGCAGCTCAGACTCCATGAAACAAGCCCACTGGATGCTCCTGGTGGAAAATATAAGAATGTTAAATTAAAAGAGAACAAGAGAATGATGAAGGTGAGATGAGGAGGAGGAGAAGGAGGAAGAGGACAGGGTGAGGAAGGATCTCTGCATGTGCGCCAGAGGAGCAGAGGAAGCCTGTAAGACAGAGAGGGGATATCCTGCCTGAATGCCTAGCCACACCTCCTACGTTTACTTATGTCCGCTAACACAGTAATGCGTGGGGTCCACAGGACACAGGGAAGAATAACAGACCATGACACACACATACACAGTGGAAGGCTCACAGTCACTCACACACTGGTAGCACACCAACACAAGGGCATGACTATTAATGTCCTGTTTACACACAAAATACTGAGATGTCAACATGATGCACAGAGTGTGTGGCTTCCTTGTCTGAGTCAAAAAATGTATATGTGAATGAGAGAGGGAGTTCCTCAACAGTGACACCTCTCTGGCGGCCTCACTCAGTGTTGATGATGCACAGCATGAGTCACCGAATTAAGCATTTGACTAATTCCGCTACTTAAAGGCTATGCATGACAACAGTGTGAGTGATTCTGACTCCAGCCTCTAGAAGTACAAATATTAATCCAACAAAAACACCATTCTCTCCCCTGGTCCACTCACCATTAATCACACACTGCTAAGAGCTAAAAAAACACCAACTGCCATCCAGAGAATCATAAAATATGTGAAAAATTTATGTTGTGTTGTGCATTGTACAAGGTATTGCTCTTTGTAGACGCTCCCTTGCGAATGCCTCAGTGTTGACATTCTCAGCACACTTCCCAAGGGTATCCCATAAGGCTGTGCTGCAGAGACTGGTTACCTGGTTACAGCGTGGTGCTCATACAGCAGTGATGGATATCATTACAGTGTGTGAGTGTGTTTCCTTGTCTGTAGATATATAAAACACCAGTAATCTGCACTGTATTGTATGTGCTCATATTCTGACGTGTTACTCCATTCGTGTGTCATGCGGGGGTGTGTGTGGTCTCATAGAGACACAGGGAGGTTACACACATGACTGACTCCATAACTTTACTTCCTGGGTTGCAACTAACCCCAGAGGTCAAAAAGGACCTTGAGTGTGCACTCATTCACCCGTTCATTAATTCACCCTGTCCCTGCTTTCTCTCCTTCTTCATCTCCTCACTCTGTCGAACGCAGCCATTACTGTGTGACCCCTGCATTCTTAGGAAATGTCCCTCGGGGGGCTGCTTGGTTTTACACTGCAGATGGTCCCCCCCCTCAGTGTAGCTGGTTGTCATGGTGACACCGCATTACACTGCTGTGACGTTGCCAGCAACCGACACAATAACAATGGAAGACATCGTAGGTATGCCGTTCTTGATTCTCGGTATGTTGCTGTTTTTAGTTAGTACAGCAACTACAGTGAAGTAGCGGTTAGCACTAAATAATGTTACTTTTAAAAATGGCGCTTTCTTTGTTCCAGGATGTCTTGCACATTGATGACGCATTTTCTCTGACCAATCGTTAATCTGGTGTTTACACATTACCGTTTGGCTTCACTTCTGCTAGCTTGGAACCTCAATGGAGGTGATGCCAAATAAGGCGAATAGAGTCATGTTGAGCTGGTACCAGTGGGTAGATAAGGGGCTTTAGTGCACTGTTACACAGGGGGCTGGATGGATCAGCATGTGTGATGAATGGGACCATAAAGAGCTTATTAATATGCCTTCCCGCTCATGCATGTACCCACCTGCATGGGCTTTGTGCATTCATGTGAACATTTAACACACTCAGTTTTCCACACTAATGTAATGTCTAAGGAGCTCAGCAATCACTTCAGCTGTCACGACACAGAGCAAAAAAGTCAGGGTCAAATACAGTATAGAGCAAGGAATGGCATTAAACCCTAAATAATTATTACTGTCTTACTCCAGGTGATGAGTGAGGACATAACCTAGTCAACACTTAACATCAGATCATCTTCCTAAAGCTACTACAGTAAAACACTCATCACCATCACTAATGTCAAATTGGCACGTCTCTGATTAAACTGGCCAAGGTGGATTATTGTATGCATTAAAAGTAGATGCAGCCCAAGGTTACCAAAATGCTATTCACTAGTGTGCAGGGGCATAAAAAGCATAGTGAGAACCAAGTTTATATAATTTCATACCTTCATTACAAAAGATCTACCAGTGAAAAAGTGAAATGCAAGAGGGCATTTTAAAATCTACTTCAGGGCTCCCCGGGATGAGGTCTACAGGCCAAAGACATATGCTGAGCCTTCTTTTCAACACAGACCACATATGAAAAACAATACTTTATACTAAATGAAATATTAAAATAAGCTGATGCAACTGGGACAATTATATCATTTTAGGGGTGGGCAATAATTTTCAAATATTCAAATAGTCATAAAAAAAAATTATGCAACTATGGTTTTGTGTTAAAAACAAACAGCCACTGTTTTCCCTTGCTTTTACATCATCCGAAAATAATGAGATAACAAAGTCAGTATATCATTTTACTGCAGCAATAAATACAAACAGCATAAACATGCAGAGACTACAACCATCAAGAAAGACAGTCACGGCGCGACTGGATAAACTGTATGATGATAATGCATGTGAGCATTTGACAAGTGTTGAAAAGGCATCTCTGATCTGGTCTGTCATATTCGAATAATTGTTGAAGAGTTCCCAACAAATATCAAATAGCATTTTAGCTTGAATTTCCCATTCCTATACCATTCACGACAACAGTGCAAGTTGGCTCATGGCCACTGAATTTAATGAACAAAATCTCACATTGGGAAACACCATGAAATCTCTCCTCTAGATTGTGCAAGTGCTTCAAAGGAACGTATGCCAATTTATTTTAAAATAACATGTCAAACTCACACCAAAGAGTTCAGTTATTTTTTTCTAAACGTCAGTCAGATGATGTCACTGAATGTGTGAAGGTGTTTCAATTGTCAGACCAGATGTAAATCATGACCTTCTCTACATTTACAATGTGTGTGTGTGTGTGTGTGTGTGTGTGTGTGTGTGTGTGTGTGTGTGTGTGTGTGTGTGAGAGAGAAAGAGAGAGAGAGAGAGAGAGAGAGAGAGAGTCAGCTGTCCATAGGGAATATCAAACCATACCCTCGCTGGGAGATGGAAAATGATACAGAGTCCACATTACATTTATCTTTCAAACACCATCTGCGTACTGTCACACAAGCACACATACACACACATCTTGGGACATGAACGCTTGCTCAAAAACCCCTCTCCAGAGAGCGACAAGGTCAGGAGGTCTGCGGGCTAATCGAAAGACCACATGGTGCTACACTTACTTTAAAATGTCCAGGTCTTCATTAGGGCCTCGGATAAAAGATGTAAGTGCTGATTATATTACCCGTGATTCAATCAATGTGAATCCAACCATATGGAAAACATTCAATTTGGGGAGAACTACTCATTTAGCATAGTCACGAAGGACAACCATAACCAAATCACATAATGATTTGGCCTTGTGTTCAGTTGGAGCCTTTAGCTTTGAAATATTTAGCCAACATTCAGTCGGTCTTTTCATCTGTGTGCACACATTTGCTGTTTGCTCTCTTTCCTTGTTACAAATCAAAATCCATCAACCCACTGACCTCATGGGCCTCCTCTTTTCATTTCTCTCGTTTTCTCTTCCTTCCCTCCAAACCTTTAATTCCTCCCTGTTTCTCACTCTGTATTCACTACCCAATTACAGTTATTATGGAGTCAGCTCAGCCTCCATGTACCTCCAGGTTCAAAGCCTAAAACACTTTTGTTCTGTTTTTCATGTCTGCTAAGGGCCAGTTACAAGGCCACAACCATAGTCCTGCCAGAGGCCTTTAAAGACTGGGGCTGGTCCATTAGCAGTTCCCATCCCGAATTTTCACAGTGAGCTGAATGAAAACAAATTGCTTTTAAAGGTTTAAAAGTCAAAGCAAAGCTGTTTGTCTTGTAATATGTTCAAACAATTATTATTAGTAGTAATAATAATAGATGTCAGAATATGATTTGTTTTCTATGTGCAGTAAATTTATGAAGTATTACGACACTAGTTTTGGTTGGAAATGCTTTGTTCTTTGTTGTCTGTATTTTGTCCTCACCCAGCTACATTATGCCTAAAACTAGTGGCCATATATAGAAAGGGTAATGATTCCAACAGTGTTCACCCAGTATAGACGAGAACATCCCAAGACCTCTAAAACTGGCACTACCAATGTCAGTTTCATTTCAGAGCCAATGTGCAAATTTACAGTCAAACAGTTAAAAACATATGACTTCCCTGATACTTTCTGATCACACTGGACATATTCTGTAAGGTATTTATAACCTAAAAGACATTTTGGACATTAAAGCTTCATACACACTAACTCTATGCTGCAAACTCAATCCCCTCCTATCCAACTGACACCGCATCAAAAAGCATTCACTAAGCCACTGATAAAATCATAGCCCTGAAGTTGTTCACATCTCTAGACTCAGACTGACCACGGCAATGCATGTCAGTGGCTGTGGGGACTGAGTAAGCCATTACTCAGACAATGAGTGGGTCATGCTGGGACTGTGGCTTTTTAGGTCAGAAAAACTGGAGAAAAAGTACTGTGAGAGAGGGATGGAGAGAAACACAAGGGAATGACGTGTTCTACTTCTCTGACAGCTCTTGAATGAAGCTGAAATCTGTGTGTATACTGTTTAGTAGCAATTTGAGAAGCTTTCCATTTCATCCCATTACTGACCCACATCACCTCTGTCATCTTCCTTCATCTTAGCTCATTTCTCTTTTCCAACAAACAGCAGCAATCAGCAGAGACCTGGGCTGAGACACATGCACAAAATTACCCTACCCAAGTTCAAACATGGCTGCTGAGGCAAAAAGAGTAGTAGCATCACAGACATACATTTGGACAGAGAATGCTTGTCTCATTGACTTCACTGGGTCTGTCAGGTTCGACGGTGAGAACCAAAGGTCCACCTGTCTGATGCCATTTAGGACTGCAGTAAATGCATCTGGCTGCCAGAAAGTAGGCATCTAAGTATACCTTAAGAGGTCTTCTCAGCACCGTGATGATAACATAATAAACAAAAACAGACTATAACATTTGTTCAGTGAAGAAGACAGAAAGAAAAGAAAGTGAATGTGTGTTACTTTTGCAAAAATGTACATGTGTGAATGGATCAGACCTGGTGTTAAGTCATCACAGCATACTTCTATGGAACCAGATGAGCAGTCACTCAGCTCGTCCACTGAGAAATCACTGTCCTGCACCTGCAACCTGTTAACACATCATGAACAGAGCCATCTCACAACTGTTACTGGTATATACAAGCCACTTCAGTATCACTGATTAAAAAATGCAAAGGCTACTGTGAATGACAGAAAAGGAAAATGGGCTTCCCCAAATGTGCCATTTTATAGCAGCTTAAGAATTAAGTTCTTGTCTTGATGCTTTCCAAATTCATTATCTTAGAAAACAATGCACTCAATGAAAATAACTGATTTGATCTTGATGTAGTGATTAATTTTGATAAAACAGATCAAACACAGTAATATTGCAGTTTTTACTTATTAAATTAGATTCAGACTGTTCTTGTTTTTATCTCATATCATGAAAGACTCCAGTTTGTGTGTGTGTGAGACAGAACAGTAGAGAGAGTCAACCCAGAGACTATCAGAGAAGATACTTCAACAAAAACATCACATGGATGTATGCATGCACACAAATGTATTACTGGAAAAGACACAAAGAAATTAGACTGAAATGGCCACAGCAGGCCTCTGGGGCTGGTCTTTACTATCCAGAGTGATAGTCAAGACTGTGAAGAGCTGTGAGGATATTGAGTGGTCATATGATAAAAACAGGAGAATGGATTTACAAGGCAGTCAGAGAAGGAGGGCTCATCACGAGGGGTTTAGACAAACTCAAGTGTGTGTGAGTGTACAATGTGAAAATGCGTTTAACATCATGGGAGTGAGGAGATTTGGGGAAAGTGAGCAAATTTTTTGCTGGCCCTCACTATCTGACACACCTTCAAAGGGTTATTTGAGGCTTGAGACTTGGTTTTAAGGTTAACGAATTAGGCTTAAGTTTTGGGAAAGGTAACAACTGGGTTTAGGCTTTTAACTGTGATGGTTAAGATTAGAGTAAGTGACTAGGTGTCCCCACAAAGACAGCCATGTAGGTATGTAAGAGAAAGTGAAAGCCATTCACCTGTAACTGAAGGGAGCCACAGTTGCCATGTTGACTCTGGGTATGTGTGCCTCTCTGGACATAGCCTCCTTATCTAAGTTTTGATCCTCCATAGGAACAGACATTTTGGACATAACTGACATGGTGAATGTGATGGGTGGCAGAGGCAAGGGACCAGGAGAAGAAGCTGGACTGTTGTCCTCAGGAGTCCCCATGTCCTCATCTGATTGGCTGGTGGAGTCAGGGTGACCTCTGATGTCGTGCTCACAACTTGTTTGAGCAAGAGAGGAGCAGAGGTTACTGTTGCTGAAGATGGCAGACTGGGCTGTGTGGTTTTCTAGTGGTTCTTCCTCTCTTTCTGGAATGATTTCACTCATTGTCTGGGATAAAGCGTTGGAATTGTCACCTCTCCTGAACTGGAGTGGTGGACGCATGCTGCTGGCTCCCCATGCTTGGTTATTATTGGTGAAGGCATTTCTGTTGCGATTTCCTTCATGTGGGAAATGTGTTGGTGTGTGAACTAAGGCTGGATTTCTCAGATCCAGTGTGTCTTTGGAATGTGGCGGCAGTACATGGCGCTGGGTCAATGGGCTGCTGCAGGCGGAGCGAGACAGCTGGGGAGCAGGTAGAGCTCCCGTCCGCTGGAAGAGTTGAGTTTTTAGGCTAGCCTCTCGCAGTAGGTCCCTGGAGGAAGGCCTAGGGATGCTGGAGCCCCGTGGGCAAAGTAAAGGAGAGTGTGTGGGTGTGTGTTTAGGGGTCTGAGAAGAGTGCCTGGGCAGATTATGAACCCGGCGGCGAGGATCTGCTTTGGGAGAAGAGGGCAACAAGCTATGTGGAAGGGGGATTCCAGATGATGGTGGCCCACGGGGGGCTGACTTTACATTGACTCCTCCACTCATGACTGACCTAAATAGAAAAACAGAGGAAGAGAGACACTTGTAATAACTCAAAAAAGGTGGGTGCTCCACTTTCAAGGTAAATCCACAGCAACAATATGAGACTGCAGTCACATTTCATTTATAGGTAACTTACACTGTGTGAAAGTTCCACCAGAAATTTATCTGATGAGGTAAACTAGAATTTGTTGTTCTTAATGGAGAGGTAAGTAAACATCCATGGTATTTGATCATATGAATCAAGCACAAATGTCAAATTGAGTCACGGTAAACCACGAGTTGAGCTGATTTTCAGCAAGGCCTGAAGCATCTGCACAATCATATTTGTCTGCTTGGAGTACAAAACACAATAACAGCTTCACACGCAGACACACTCGCAGCAACATCTACCAGCTGCTTTTAGAACATTATGCTCTCAAATAACTGATTTTCTCTACTTAATGAATTCATACACACTACTACACAGACTCACGCACACAATCAATGTTCTCATACAAATAACAGCCTCAGAGGAGGTGTGAGATTGTCCTCACCTGATTTACTTTGATTTCAAATATTCACACTTTGTTACCCTCTTTGTCATCCCACACACAATGATAGAGATCTTCCAAGAGCTATAATAGTCTGCTTGCTATTCTTTGTGCTGTTCTGTTATACTCAAACCACAGTGAATTTTAGTCATTTAAGGTAATATCATATCATTTCTCTACCTCGTGCTGCACTGCTGGAGGCAGGGTTGGATGGAGGCTGTGAGGTTGGAGAAAGGCAGCATTCACTTACTATGCCTCACGAAATGTTAGAATTCCATGTGACTTTTTTGGTTTCAAGTTGGAAAAAAGTGTTAAATAGGACGGGGAAAAACTTCTTATTTTTGACATTTTTTCGTAAGTTTGCTGTTCCTGATTTTGTTTTTAAGGCGTCACATTTTAAGTGATAAATCGTTGCCAAGTGATTTTCTTCTCCAAATGGATGGAGTTACAATAATGTAAAGTCAGAGAAACGGCCTGAATATACTGAATATCCAGTATTAAAAAATGCTAACCAGCCTGCCAACAGTCTGAGAGTTTAACTGTGAAGAATGGTTTATTTAGACCTTTATGGCACAGTGAACAAATCATGTTGCTGTCCAGATGTGCAGCAGCAGCTCAACAGCTGCTCTGCTCTCACTTTCAACACAGATAAACATTTACACATATACATAAACATGTACATTTTTGTTTTTTACTTTCTACTTCCTGTACAGGACCTTTACACTAGACTATACAAACAGACTGTATTGTCATAATTACACACACTCACAGACATAACGCTTAACCCTACTCGCCCTTTCTTAAATAACACAATGTTTGTTGCAGAATCTATAGCACACATGCATGAAATTAAGTGGAAATTAAAAGTCATAAGGAAAAATGTTGGGTTATTTGACAGTGCATCTAATCGCAGTATTGCACACAGTGTAATGCGACTCACCCCCAAAGGCCACATTCTCACACACACATGCACAATTTCATATAAGGAAAGAATGAAGTTTCTATAGGGGGACCTTCCTTTAACCTACTTATATTGTCAGACATACTGGCACAGAAAATACAACATGGGTATTTTGCCAATGACTGGTGCTTTTTTCAGTTTACTCAAAACTAATGAAGACCTGTGCAGCAGTATACAGCAGCAGTGACGCAGCAGAAGGTAAACAGAGACAGATGTGATCATCCATCCTCCCCTCTCTTTATTTCTTTCCATGAATTTCTCCTCTTCCTCATTCCCATAACCCCATTCTATGTTTCTTGCTATTTCTATTGGGAAGCCGAGTCACTAATAAGTATCAGAATTTCTGTCTGTCTGGTACAGTTCCTGCTAGGATTTCCAAGAGCACAGGTGTTGTCTGGTTATGTATCTGTCTGTATGGAAATTGGCCATTCCCTGGGGATGCAGTGGGGTCATACCAACACTGCTGAAGCCCATGCAAGGACACAAACAGGCTCAGCTGGTGGTGTGTGTATATGGTGTATACGTACATAAAAAGAGAAAGAACTCAGAGAAAAAATAATTAAAGCATTGTATTTGGCTGAAGCCAGCAGTTGTAAGCAGTTGAAAATGAGTCAGTTTAGTTGTAAGATTCCCTCCCAATCTTGTTCAATGTGTAGGGTATGTTCTCTGTGTCCTGTGTTCAGGCACCATACAAGCTTCTAAGACAAGATCATTCTGCATCTTTCTGTTACATACAGTATGTGCCTTTACAGCAGTTAGACTGGTAACACATTCACAGTAGGTCAAATGTTTGTGACTTGTCTGATTACAGAAATTAGTTCAAACACAGGAAGAGTAGCAATTTGTAGCGTTCTCTAAAAATGTAATGTACAGGAAGAACAAACAGGCAATGTTTTGTGGAAGCTGAGGCCAGATGTTGTTTGGCTTTGTGCTTGATAAATGAGCTCTGTGATGAATCACTTATCAAAACCATTGTCAATTAGTCAAATGATTCATCAACTGGCAGTAGCTATTTTCCTAATACTGTGACATAAAAGTCACTGATAAAGAACTTGAGAATGTGAGGCTGTGCTCGGTGTCATAAGGGAAAAAGCAGTTCAGCACTAGTGGGAGTCTGCTCACGTAGATGTGTCATAAGGGAGCACTAGTGGGAGTCTGCTCACGTAGAAAGAAGTAAAATGTAATTTGCTTTAATTGTTGGAGAACATTATGACTTTTGTACACTGACACAAAAACAGTAACAAAACCATGTGGCTAATTACAGTTTCTGTTGCAAGCCAGTGTAATGACTGGTTGAGAAGAGTGTCTGAGCAGCCCCTGTGTCATTCTGAAAGGATGGTACTGCCATCTGCTGGATACTATGTGCAACTACACAAGTAAGGACCCTGAATTTTCATTACTCTTTTATCATTCAGGTTTTTTTTTTCACCTTTCTCTACATAACAACCACTAATAAAAAACACACTTAACCTCAGTCATGAAAGATTATTAGGTATGTATTGTACTTTTTAGAAGGAGAGAAAAGAGTGGATAGCATAACAGCTGGCATTTAACTTTATGAACATCCATTCATTATCTATACTGCTTATCCTGACCCTGGACAGGTCACCAGTCTATCATAGAGCTGACACATAGAGACAGACAACCATGCACACCCACATTCACTCCTAGGGGCAATTTAGAGTTGCCAATTGACCTAAGCTGCATGTCTTTGGACTGTGGGAGGAAGCCGGCGTACCCAGAAAGAACATGCAAACTCCAGGTCAGTCAGGGCTTGAATCCAGAACCTTCTTGCTGTGAGGTGGCAGCACTAACCACTGCAGCACCATGCCGTCCTTCACCAACACAATACACAGTTTTAGCTTCATTGTTCTATAATGCACTGAGTCTGATCTGAGTTTCATCAGATCAGAGTAAATGCATACCCTCTCTCTGTCTCACCCACACTCACCCCTGTGATGAACACCCTCTGACTCATCACAAAATCAATAGATGAGGTGATAATACAGGCCCCTCTGTCTGTGAACTCAAGGACATTAGCAGCGCCTGTGTGTTTGTGTGTGACACCCAATCTGGAAAGTGTACAATAAATGAAAGTAATTACTTCCACAGCAGCAACAGTGATAGTGTGCTGGCATAAATCGTTTTCAGTATCTTACACACTAAAAAAATAAAATGTGCTGTTCGGATTCCTGGAAAGGGATGGTTTTCTAAGAAGAAAGTCACAGCTGAAAAAAACAAACATTTGAAACTGATAAACTGATCATATGAGATCTGCTGTGCCATATGAGTGACTTACCTGTCATTGGAGTACTGAGTCTGTCACTGTACCGTTAGGTCAAGCAGGCAGAGGTGGCAGGAGGAACGTCACACTTCTCCAACATCCCAGGAACAATGGGCTGTTTTTTCCTGGATCACTGTTGCATCCTCACCGCTGCCTTCCCATTGGTTCACACCACCTCACCATGCACCACGACAGGAAGCTGTGACAAACAGGAACTAGATTTTTAACCAATCGGTGCAAGCACACTGAAGTGACTCATTTTCCGTCACTTTCTTTGAAATCAAGAGTTCTCATCTTTTGTCAGAAAGCCTCATTTCACAGACACAGGCATGTCTGAACAATGAACAAAAGACTGTTTATGTTATCATGAGTCAGCAGCCAAAATGGAAATTTACATGGTGTACAATGACCCACGATGACAAATAGCAGCAACGACAGAAATCAGCAACAATAATGAAACATCAGAAGGAGGTGGGCAAACTTGCCAAGTGCAGCTGAAATCACAATCTCTCCCTCAGTGTGGAAAAAAACTAAAGAGATTGTGGTTGATTTCAGGAGAGCACATGCTCAAGACCGCCCCCTGACCACCAATGGCGCTGCTGTGGAGAGAATCGCCAACACCATGTTCCTGGGGGTGCGCACTGAGGACAACCTCTCCTTGACCACCAACACTGCATCACTGGCAAAGAAAGCCCAGCAGCACCCTAAAAACAATATCCCTGTCTGTTATAGGAACTGCAATGACTCTGACCACATGTCCCTACACAGAGGACAGGGAATACAGCTGAAAAAATCATTGGCGTGCATCGTCCATTGCTACAGTACTTTTGGCGGACACAGTGTCCCCACAAAGCCACCATGGGTGACCCCTCGCAGTCTCCTCATGCTCCTGTCATTTGGCAGGAGATACAAAAACATCTGAGCCAGATTAACCATATTCCCCAACAGCTCCTTCCCACAGGCTGTGAGAACTCTGAATGCACTCTCCCACCTCCCAGACACTACTCACACCACCCACCAAGGAATTCCTACAAAACTAGCACCTTATGGAAATACATATGCCTCTGGGCTTCAGGTTGTGTGGGGACACTGTAGTATCTCAGCCCCTCAGATCCTGTGAAATCTGCGACTCAGCTTTCAGTTTAAAAATGTCATATACATTGTTATTTTATACTATTCATTTCAACTATGCATTGTCTTGTCCTTAACTTATTCCATCGTCTGTTTTAAGTCGATACCTTGTGTGTTCTTTGAAGTATGTGTGTTTTATGTCACACTGAGGGCTCAGAGGAAAGACATCTCAGTCCACTGCATGCGTGTGCATACTGTGGAATGACAGTAAATCTGCCTGAAACTTAAAATATTCTGTCATCGTCAAAATACCACAACTCAGCATATGAAAACCTTGCACCTACACATTTCAAAACTGCACAGAAATGCATTCCTCAAAATTGTGCTACTGTTAACATCATTGCAATGTATTTTTCTAAGTGTATTTCATATTACAATGTATTTTTTATCCAGTGAGGATAACTACTTAACTGAAATTAAAGGTTTATAATGACAAAAACAGGTGTTATAAGCTTTAAGTGCAGCATGCTCCAACCTCAGAGAACTCCTCAGTTAAGAAAAGATTGCCAAAGAGGGAGTGTGAATCTCACACAAACTAGGAAAAAGATGCAAATCAAACACACACGCCCACTCCAGAAGCACTCAATATAGAAGCTAGTATTTTAGTACAGGCACAAGCACCAATACAAACTAAAATATTACCATAGTGTGCACAGTTTCCCTCCATTCTGATTCATTACAATACAGTAGATTCACGACAGTGATCTTCTTGGCATCACATCTTACTCAGATGTATACACAGCATGCTGCACTGAGTCATACAGCCCTTGTAATGCTGAGTCAGGCAGATCACATAATGTCACCCCTGGTCACAGGACACCCCAGCCTCTGCCATCCTATTTAAGCTCTGCTTTTCTTTCTGTTTGTGCTGTTTACTGTATGACTGGGGCCATTCATACATCCAATTTAGTATTTAGCTTTCCATACAATTAACAGGGAAGAAAAACTTGCATTCGTGGTTAAAAGAGAATAAAAATTCATACAAACAAACAGGGGAATATACACAGCAGCAGCCAAAGTAACATGTGCATAGACACAAATATTAAATGCTAATATGGGGTAATCAAAAGGCTACACTCACCTTCTGCAAGCATCGGATTAAACATCAAGTGAGTTAGTCTCCAGTCTCTCTACTGCTGAGCGCGTCCTGCTCTGTCCCTGCCGTGGCTCCTGTCTACTTTTGCCAGGCAGGACCCTGAAATGTGAGCAGTGTGTATTTGTGAGTGTGTATCTTTCTGTTTGTCACTCCATTTCTCTATCACGTCATGCCGCTCGGCTGCTGCCGCAGTACGCCTGCAGCCTGTCCCTGCCCCTCTCCTCCTCCCAGTTTCTCTCCTTCTCTCTCTGTCTCAGCAGTGGACCTGTTGGCCCTGCTGCCTCCCTCTCTGGGGTGAAATGTAAGTCCAGCTGAGGCACAGGCAGGCTGTCCATTAGCTGGATGAGTATGGTGTGTGTGTGTGTGTGTACTTGCACATGGCTGTCTGTATAGTGTGAGTAATGCATGGTAATTAAGCAGATGTAGCTACAAATGTGAAACGCCCAAACCCATCATCTAGCTTTCAAGGTCTAATTGGTGGTCAGGGAAAAGAAAGATGAAAAGAGACAGAAAAACAAAGTACGCTAATGATAGATCTTCTGGTGACACATGAAAATGTGCATAAACACATACAATCACTCAAGTAAATCTGATGTCCATATTTGTGTCTGTACTCAGTGCGCACATCTATCACTGCTCTAAGTCGCCCCACACCTCTAATGAACAAGAGAAATAAGGGAGATACAAACATGGAGAGAGGCTAGAAACAGGAGGCAGAGATGTGCAAATCAACATTTACTGTGTGCAGAGTAAATCCTTTCCCACCTGACAGAGAGTATCAATATACAGCCCTGATCTCTACCCATCTTCCTAATCCACAAACTCTGAGATAGAAGTGAGAAACTGAGGTTTCATCACTCTTTGTTTTTATCTACTATTTCACCTACTGGACAACAGATTCCCCTGTATTTATTCACAGGTTGTTAGTTTGGTTTAACAAAATGAGCCTGGTTACTTTGGTTTTTTACTTTTCAATATCTGCTCTCTCCCCAGTCATGACTGTGTTTTTCTGTCTCTCTCTCCCTCCCCCCCCACATCTCTGTTTATTCTTCTCTCTTCTCATGTTTCTGCTGTGCTGGTTTACAGTTTGACTCACTGATATAAGGGACAGTGCTGCATATTTAATGAAGACTGTGATACCCAACAGGAAAAGACTAAATATATCTGAAATGCCCTGTTTCATAGTGTAGATTCAGCCCCTCCAGTTATCGTATAAAAGCTTTATGAGACTCTTGACTATGTGCACATTTGGTGAATCATTAGACTGAACCATCTGTACAGGTCTTTACAGCCTTAACATCCAGCCTGAGAGCTATTTGTACTGATCAGGCATTGACTCGTTCTGCTAACACCTGACAGTCTCTACTGAGGAGGTACCTAAGCTAAACAATGGAGTATGTGTCCAGTAAATACAGTAAGTGATCAACCAACCACGGTGAATTGATAAATGCTATTAAAACACAGTATATTACCCAGAAAGCACAGCAGCTCCCCACACATACAGGACTTGTGTGAACTATAAACATGCGTCTCCCTCCTCTTCTCTCATACATGTGCACATGCAGTACAGTAACGCTTTCATGCTGAGGATCACTTTATTGTTCACCTCCAAATACTCACACTATTGCCAAGGCCCCTCTTCTGTGTTTCCAGCTGCCAAGAGTTGATTTAAAAGCGTGAAACCAATGCACAGCAAACACTCCAAAGTCAGCCACAAGCACATACACACTCACATGATCTGTTGCTTTGTCTCAGTAGCTCATGAAATGGGAAGTGACTCGTAATGGAGGGATTATGGGTAGGAGAGTGCGTGTTGAGGGGTGGGGGGTTAATGTCATAGCTAATCTTCTGATGCCCCCCTAAGGCAGGTCCACTCCCCCCGAAAGACAGACCCTGGCAGACACTGTTGTGACAATGAGAGTTGTGTCACTGCCGCCCCGAGCGGCATCTGTAGAAATCAGGCATGTGGGGGGTAGGGCTCAAACATGCTGACTTAAACATGGAGCTTTAGATGGATGTGCAGCTTCACTAAGACAAGTAAAATAAAAGGAAAACACTAAAGACAGAACAAGTACTGATTCAAAACAAACATAAAAACACAGCAGGTTGATTCCCCTTAGAGGCGGTCACAAGTTCTCTGTGAAAATGTGCCTCTAATTACCACAGTGCTTCACACAAAGCTGTCTCTACAGTATGCGGCTGCACTGTTAACAATAGATGGTGTCAGTGTGTTCCATCATACTATTTACAGATGTATCAGCGAGAGATGAAGCCAGTCAAATATAAGATTAAATAGATTGTAAATCACAAGGCCAGAAAGGGAAACCAGACCTGCTAATGTTGATGTTTCGTAACTTCAGTTTTAGAAAGCATAGTGACAAAGGACGCAACTAATGATCATATTCATTTTCGATTCATCCTCTGGATTATATCATTAATCGTTTTATTTACACAGTTCCACAAAGTAGTGACAAATGCTCATTATAATTTCCCAGAAGCCCAAAATGACACTTTCAAATCATTAGTTTTATCAGATAAACTGTCATAAAATCCATTAAGCTAAATATATACTAAGAAAATTAGGAAAGAGTCACTTTTTTCAGCTCTTCTGCCACAATGTGTATATATACACACTCACCGGCCACTTTATTAGGCACATCTGTACAACTGTATGCAAGTCAGTGCAACACTTCCACCTTGACATCTGTTTGTGAAGCTCAAAATGTTTCAGTTTTTGGTGAAATTGTAATAAATATATAAATTCAATTATGCTTATTATTGAGGTCATAGTTGGTGGTGTTGTACTGGACTACGTTATATTTAGAGGTGTCTCTACATTTCTGCCCTCCCCAGCAACATATGTGAACGGGTTAGAATATTAGGAACACCTCTGAATAAAAGACCCAATTATTTATTGAGAAAATAATCTGCAGGTTGATCAGTGGTGAAACCAATCATTATTTGCAACCCTACATTCAATCTGTAATAAAATTGTTGGTGCTGCAATGCACATAAAGAGCCACTGTTTGGATATACAGTATGATGCTTGCACTTGTTTAGTACCACCAATGACCACATGATGGAAGCAGACAACAGTCACTGCAGAAAGTTGATTCACTCCGCTTTCCCTGTCTATCAGCAAACATCTCCATATGCCATTTCTGTTACTGCCTTCTCATCCATTGAGCATATCTGAATGACCTTTAAAAGGTAATCTCTAAAGGTCATTTAAGGTTGTGCCGATAAAGTACAAAGGCTGGAAGTAGCATGAGACTGTGTCCTAGTGCATAAGAAGTAAAATAGCTGATTTGCCATTTGACTGTTCAAATTGATTAGCTGTTAAAGGTTAACTTATAGACAGAGGTAGAGTGACCGATTTACTGACTCATAAAACAAAACAGACAAAGAGGAAGAAAAAATACCCGTAGTCACACAAAGTCTGAAAACATCAAGAACAATCCACGAGTCATTCAACATAAATCTGCAGCCAAATGGAAGGTTATCAAAGTATATGCTCTCACTTTCACCTACTCTGTGTACTAATAAAAAAAAAATCAAGATAACACTAAGATTGTGGCTTTGTAATGCCTATATTTCTGTCAACATTTCCAATCTCAGGTAATTTCAGGACCGGGGGCTTTGAGACAAATACGAATCTGCTTAACTAATGTGAAGTTTACCAAGTTTAGTGGGGCGTCACTGCTTCTAGTTTACCCTGTACATGTCTCTTAAGGGCCTCTTGGCAGTTTGACCAGTGGCCGCTTTAAGATTATGGCAGAAAGTCAGGAGACTGAGGTAAAATGCAAATACCAGCAGGAGCCTTTATTGATGGTACATGAGACAGACACAAAAAGAAACCAAGCCTTAAGGAAACTCACTGCCTTTTACACATACCTACTGCCAGTGATTAGGGACAGCAGACCACTTGCAGTGGTTGTGACCAATATTTACACAAACCAACACCATATATAAATAGAACACAATAAATATTTACAAAAATATAGATCCCTATATATACACTCAACAACACATGTGCTTCATATAATTACACTGATTGGCATCAATTGGTTTCTGCTTCTGCTCCCCTTCCTCGTTACAGTGGTTTAATCCTGAAATTCAAGCAGGTGTGTGGGTGTGTCTCACTTATGCCCTGTCAGACAAGGAAAAGGTGAGTACTGCTGTTAGTTCTCTTAACTAACATAAATTAATAAATGTGGGTAATATTGTTAACTGTGGGCAACTGCAGAAAAAGAATTAACTTAAATCACAACAAAAATACTAAATTTGGATTGTGAACGCTGCTGATTACGTCTCCCCTTTCCACCCAGGTAGAACAGCCCATCACACTCGGCAGCCCCGAATCACCAGTTAATTTACTCAACTACTGCACTTAAGTACAAGTTTGATGTAGCTACACTTTACTTGAGTATTTTTATTTTCTGCTACTTTATACTTAGACCACTACATTTTATAGAAAAATACCGTGCTCAGTACTCACTACAGTTATTTGATAACTTTAATCACTTGTTACATTTCAGACTGAGATTTATTTAACAAAATACACTATAATCATAAGACTATTGATGGGCAATTCACAAGCTACCCAGCAGTATGTAAAGTACTTCAAAGTATAAGCATATAAGATAGTTAACCTTAGCTCTACCTTTACCAGCTATAACATTAATTGTGAGGTACATAATATGATAACATTAGAAAGGGGATGAAATGTATAAAATACAGAGCAGGTTTATGAACTATTTTACCCTACTGTTATCATTCTACAGTTCCATTTATCACAAAAAGCATGCTTGGCTGGCTTTATCGCTCAAAGGCCTGCAGTAGTTTCTCCCCCAATGTGAAAGAACAGAGAAGGTACTTTTAAAGTGTCAGAATTTCAGAAACTTTGGCTTAAACTCATGACACTCTCTCTTCTTCGTTAAATTTCCTCTGCCCATAAAGTGTCTGTGCTACTTCACATTTTTCTGCATATTGTTTATCTTCTTTTTCAGTGTTTCTAACACACATTCTTTGTATAACATTTCTATAATGTACAAAATGACACAAAAATTTTAAATCCAAGTTCCCCATTTCAACTGACTCTCTCTCTCTCTCTCTCTCTCTCCCCCTCTCCCCCTCTCAGCCAGTCAGAAACTCCCCTGTTCCTCAACAGGCAATAAGTTTGCAGACCAGAGCAGCAGCAACAGAAGCTCTGACCTTTCAGTACATCTGGAACAGTGGACAAGTAAAGAGACACTTTATCTGAGTCTATTTGTATCACTGGACTAACAGGATATAACGTCATACAATTGGGTTACTAAAAGAAGTCACCAGACTAAAAGTACAACTCTTTCATCTAACTGAGGACCACTAGTTTCCTGAACATACTGCATTAACACTGCTCCAATCTTCAAACTGTCCATCATCGCTGACTGACAGCACCTTTTAACTGCAGGTAAGCAAAGTTAATATATTACAGTTTTGCTTAAGCTTCCTGTTTTCTGTTTTCCTGCTCTTTCTGCCAGCACATGATGAGATAAACACTCTGACACAAAGTACATTTATTTTCGGTTCAGGCCAGAAGAGGCTTCTTTGTTTGAACAGCTATCATGTACTACATTTTGTTAAGAAGAACTGCGTTTCGACAGTTAGACAGTAACGCTAAACCTCCATGCAAGACAGTATGCAAAGATCTTTATACTCTCTTGTTTAGGCAACAACGTGTAGAAGCTGAAAAAGATTACTGGGCAAGTCTTACTGATATTAATCTTAGTCCAAATCATACAGATATTGCATGCAGACACATTCTTCAATATTTCATGAAGGGGATTCCTGATTTATACCAAGTTTACACCCCCTACACACCTTATTTTGCTTTACTAGAGCATTCCTGTACAACTGCCTGTCACCCCACATGTTGAAACTTGCGAAGCCGCCATTAGCAACACCATGTGCCAAAATTCATCTTCAGCACACACACAAACAAATAATTTACCAAATACCTGCTTTGTTCATGTAGTGAAAAAACATCAAGATACTGATCAAACCCTCATGTCTAATCGCTTGTCTCTGGAAATTCCTCAGATTTCCGATTTCAGAGTTCAAATTCTAATAAGTCTGCCAAGTGATAACTCCACCTTCCCTCACCTCTTTCAGTATTTCCCTCTGTGGTGAGATTCTGTCAGTTCTGTCCATCTTGTTCTACCTAGTCATGACAAGTCATAGCAGACCCTATCTGTACAAGTCTAAAAACATAGACTAATTTTCTTCTTTTTTCCCCTCAAATAAAATGTTTCATCATAGTCTTGACCTGCATTTTCCTTCCAATATTCTGCTTTGTGCATGATATGCAGCACATGTTCAAGCTTTTACCTTCTTCTTCTGCTCCTCACCGATTCTCTTGCATCCAAAACTGCTTTACTGCAACATAGGATGTCTGACTTTCTACTTCATTTTTCATAGTTGGGCTGCAGAAAAGCTCTAAAATGATAGTTTTCTATCTGGTACAAAAACATTCCTGACATTTCTGCTATTACTGGCACTGAGTCTTGTTTCCAGGACTGTACAAAACACAAACTGCAAGCCTTTACATAAAACAGTCCTGAAATGCCAGACAGCATCTGTGTGGTAGTTAATACAAATTCTCCGAGTAGAACATTAATAATCTCCATGCTTTACATCCTATAATTCTACTGCTTCACCTCTGTTTCCCACAACCTTACTCAGCTCAGACTTCTGATATTCACCTATACAGTCCTACATCACAAAAAGATTTTTGCATAAACAGCATTAGTTTTTCTTTGCAGTCAGTTTTTCCATTAATATTGGCCTTTGAACAAACCCCAGAAACAGATTGTACTGGCAATGACAAAATGTCAGTGCAGGAGCAGCCAGACACAACCCACTCCACACATTACTTCACTCAGGGCTATGATTCAACCTCATACCATGAGCTTACAGTATATTTACATTAAATACTATTCTGCTTTCAGGATTAAAGATGTTATGTTTAACTTTAGGGCGTTCTATTTACTGTTGAAGAAAGAAAGATATAATTTGGTATGGCCAATCATAGTGTACTAGATATTTTGGCTTGCTATAAAAAACAGGAAGTGTGTCCAGGGGTGAAAGGAAATGGCCCAACATGCTGACACTCATTCTGAGAGCTCAGCACCACCCTCTGCTGCTAAAAAAAGATGACCCAGGTAGAGTTTCAGCTTCTTCCTTAACATAATGTACTTCCTGCCTTATAAAAGAAACGAACAACTCAGATTAAGAGCTGAAGTCTGCAAATGTGTAGAAGAATGAGACAGACAGGCAGGGATAAATGTTAGGAGTCAGGGGCAGGGAGGTGGGAGGGTTTACACGATCAGGAATGTGGATGTGAATATGTGAGAATGGGCTGGGAGGGCCATGCTGGGAAACACGCTGGCTAGAAAAAGGCAGAATGCCAGGGTCTTTTACACCACACTGTCTTTGAAATTCCACAAAAGGCCACAGTTGCACATTATTTCCACATTGGCTTTCCCAGTTGTCAAGAAAGAGCAGTTTTCATCTAATAGCCTTTGACCAAAAAAAAAAAAGGAATTCTTGGTTTTTCCGCACTGCTAGTCTTTTACAGAAGTCACAGAAAACTGGTAGGAATGAAATTACAGGATCTGGGTGGGCCTGGCTTGACAAAGCTACAATTACAGACGACCAAACTTGGCTGTTTTAAACTAGAATTAGAACAAAAGCTCCAGTTAACGTGTTTGTTTGATGGCCATATCAGGGAATCTATTAGTTCTCTGATCCATTAGTGTTTCAGTTTTAGGTCTAGTTTCATACAAATTACAGACCTTAGTGCTAGGTCAACAGAATAACATTTGAATTGTATGCTCTGAATAGAATATATGCCCCCCGTCCCATTTAATCCACTATCAGTTATTCCTCATTCAAACACAGATAATCACTGGCTCCCTGGTTTGAATATTTGTCTTTATCAAAACGTTTATCTCTATAGGCAACGTCTGGACACAATAAAAAGCTGAAAAGTCTTACACAGACTGATTACCTCATGTGTGCTTTTCTGTGTTCCTGTTGGATACTTTCCTAAAGGATGCCTTTGGGTGGAGGAAACAAATGTGGCCGCTGCCAAAAGACAGTTTACTTTGCTGAAGAGGTGCTCTGTGATGGGCGGAGCTTCCACAGGTCCTGCTTCCTGTGCAGTGAGTAAACTCTCTGTCACTTCCTGTGATGGTCAGTGAGGAAACCACTGAACTTGTTACTTGCTGCTGTTATACTAACCTAATGGACTGTTTCTCGTCTATTTTTAAAGTAAAAAGTATGAACATAGGTGAACAGAGCATTAACATGCTAAGAGAAAATGTTATATGAAACAACGCCTTGTGGCTTAAAAAGAAAAACAAACTATTCATGACTACTGCATTTTATAATACTGATACACATGATGAAAGTGATCCTGACATTTTCATGTATTCAGTTTGAACACTGCTGTACATGTGACTCTTCAAGAGTTGCCCAATCTGCCATTCTCAGAAGCTGAAACTTGACATTTCCTGTTGATAAGTTATTAAAAAAGTCCAAAATACCAAAAAAAAAAGATTCTAGCACGTCCACTTATTGTTGAGCTGTTGCTCTTATATGTACCCTCTATGTATGAGCAGAGACTAACAAAAACAAGCCAACAAACAAGATAATTTACCTACAGCATCTATTTTCTACATTAAAAAACCCACTAACTACATAAAAAATATAAAATTAATACTATTAACAGAAATGTACAAAAAAATCTAAGTCTATCTTTGCCTTAAAGTGAACAAATGTAGGTCCAAGGACTTCAGAGAGGAGTTATTTGTATTCCTGTGCTGTAATCGAACACTCCTCTGATGGAATTTGGATGAGAACATACTTCTTTAATAAACCCTGCCATAAAAGGAAACCATGAGGGGCTTATCTAAACACATGATTTGCACAAAAATGTACAAAATAGCTGATCTGTGTGTGTTCATGTGTGTGTGCATGTGAACGTCTGTCCATGCAGTGGTGTGTGGTAAGAACTTGGACAGTACAACCGTTGCTGTTCATATGGATGAAGTCTACTGCAAAGCATGCTACGGGAAGAAGTATGGGCCAAAAGGCTACGGTTACGGCCAGGGAGCGGGGACCCTCAGTATGGACAAGGGAGAGTCTCTGGGTATTACACATGAAGAGTGAGTAGCACACGAAGACACACACACACACACACACACACTCCTTATATGTGCTTAAGGCCCTTTATCCACATTTTTGCTCTCTCTCTTCATCAGACCTGCTCCTCATCGTCCTACCAACAACCCAAATGCATCCAAGCTGGCTCAGAGGTTTGGTGGGTCAGACAAGTGCCCTCGTTGTGGCAAGGCAGTCTATGCTGCGGAGAAAGTTATTGGAGCTGGGAACGTAAGAAAAAAACATGCACACACTCATGCACCTGCACTCAAAAGCACACACTTTTTAACAGGGATGTTCTGTCTATATACAGGCATGGCATAAGGTAGGATGCTTCACCTGTTCGGAAGAGCCTCGAGTCAACCACACTAGCTGACAAGGATGGAGAAATCTACTGCAAAGGTAAAATGGCACCATACAAGAATGAATGCATTCAACACAGATTTAACCTGTGCATGCCAGACTGCTGTCATGGGTTGAAGTCTCTGCTTCACAATTGACACAAGGCCTACAGTACGTCTGCACCTGTGGTTCCATGCACATCTACTAATCTGCTACAAGTTGTTGATTTTAAGTTAAACTGTTGTGCAAGTTTAACATATCTCTTCATGCAAACTTATCAACCTACACCATGGTCATGTAAGTACACTCTGAGATTGAGTTTATGACTAAGGGCTGTGGCCAACAAACTATCTGTTGTCGTACTTTGCTGTCGAGTAGCCCTGTAGGAATCTGGTATCAGACCAGTGTTGATCCACTGAGGCTGCATTTGTCTGAAAGAGATGTGATATTACAGTCGGTGATGCATCATAAATCCGAAAGCAGGAGGGGAAATGGTTTGATGCAGCTGATGTAGTATTAAAATTTCAGTTTTATAAGAGACTTAAGCAAGAAAATGCACTGCCCGGTTTGTTTGTCGACTGAGTGACTGAATTGTAATACATACAAGAATACAGCAGGGGGGCACTAACACAACAGGAAAACAGCAATAAATAAAACTCAAAGCTCAAAAGCTTCTAACAAGCCTTGCTTGAGGTTTTTGTTTTGAATTAAGAACATGCTGACCGTTTTGGCTCAGCACTACTTAACAGGGCTGAAGTGCACTTCTCTACCACACAAAGCTTGCGGGTTGTTTACATTTTTCACAGGGTGTTAGTTTGTAATTATCACTGATTGTCACTGCAACATTGGGAGGGCACAGTAGAACAGTTGTGATTCTGCCTGGTATCCCATGTCTTTTATATTCAAATTTTATATTAATGAATGAAGCAAACTGCACAATACAAAAACTTCTCGCCAAGCTTTATCACTTTTTTTTTGCAAACTAGCCTGGTGTATCTTTTAATATTTTATGCTGGGCCTAGACTGGGACATTCATCTTTCTGCATAAATTTAATTTAAGCAAATAAGCTCCAGGACGCTGGTATGATGACATGACGCACTGGAACACCTCTATTTCCATTGTTTTCTTAGAGGCAGTTGACTTTCTGACCACATTCCTCTCAAAAATAAAATTGGGGGGGTTAAAATATGGACCAGCTGAGGTGGGTAACCGCGGACCAACAGTGGGCAGTATTGATCAAATTGCTACTTGGTGACGGCGCACGGACGAGGAGAAGTCGCCAAAATACAGATACTCTCGGAAAGCTACATAAAAGTGAAACTTGTGCTTTAATATAAATGTTTTCAAGCCTAGTTGTTTACTTTTACGAGATAAAAGGCTTTAAAGGTGGTGACTAAGTGGTTGGTTTTGCATATGTGCGTCCGGTTTGCCCGCCTCCGTTAAATTATTGCGCAAAGGCAGTCCAGAACGGGGCTAGCGAGGCTCCTACATGGGCTATCCTGGAGCATATGATGGATATATCTTAGAGCCTGTCGATCTTTCTGACATTACCTTTCTTTGCTCCAGGGTGTTACAGCAAAAACTTTGGTCCAAAGGGATTTGGGTACGGACTGGGCGCCGGAGCGCTGGCGCACACTCAGTAGAGTCCACGGTGATCTTCGCTGACGTTTCCGGAGTACAGTGCTGTCTTCTCCCTGCAGAGGGCGGACAGTAGACATGCACCTGACAGACCACGTGCCTGGTTTTTAAAACTACATTATAAACAATATAGTGTATAAGAAAACTCCATCTTAGTCTCATATAAGCCAACAATGATTACTTGTGCTGTTACATTAAATCTTGATGCATTTATCAAAAGTAATACTGAAATATCACCTACTGTATCTATTTAAAGCTGCATTGTTGATTTGCACCGTCTGCTCTAACTACTTTTTATTGTAAGGCTGTTTTTCTCTCTGCAAGTGAAATCTCAGTATCACAGGACTCTGACTATGTAATGCAGTAAATAATGCCTGTTTATACGTGTGCCATGCTTTCTAAACAGCACGATAATAAATGTATTGAAAAATGATTTTAGTCTTTTTTTTTCTTAGTTGGCGCAAAAATTATATAAAAGTGTGTGTGCGTGAGAGAGAGAAGGAAGGAGGGAGGCAGATCTCGTTTGGAGAATGACGTCTGTGTTTAAGTTTCAAGCAGTGACAAACTCATTGTCTCCATTCCTCTCATAACATTGTTGGAACTACATTAGAGTCCAAGTACATTAAGTCTAGTAATTTATAAAAGTGGGGGAATTACAGTTTTACTCCACCCATCAAGTATATGAAGACTGTCAAAAATGAACTGAAATGCCATAATTATCCTCTCATAGGACACATTACAGTGACCCAGAAGAATCAGAACTTGATTCTACTTTAGCCCTAACTTTCATTTGCCTTTCAGCACTGTCAGAATTGTCCCCTATTATTTCAGGATGTGCATTTAAATGGCATTATTTTAATTCACCTAAAATCATTTTAGCACTTCCTCACAAACTACTCTAATGAAATGGTGTCCAAAGATTGCACTGGTTGACATAATGCATTCCCTAGCTCCTTACCCTAACCTTAATCACCACTCACTATATAGCAAGTACAAGAGCACACGCACGCAGGCAGGGAATTTTATGAACACTCCGGATCGTCTCCGGGCGTCACCGTGAGGAGGCGGAGAGTTGGTTGAAGAGAGAGAAGTTCCATAGAGCAGGAGCCGGGCATGTTCGGACATATCCAGGCAGACCAGCCTACCAACATGCACGGTGTGCTGTCATTACGTACTAATTAGACTTATTCACAGACCAAATGTAGCCCAGTCTATAGGCCGTTGTGACTTGTCATAGCGCAAACTGATATGTTGTCCTGAGGAGCACATAGCAGATAAAACTTGCATTTCATGGATTCTTCTTGAGACGCACCACGGCTTAACACTTTCGAAGTTTTGGTCATACTGGTAGACTTTGGATACGCGTGGCCATGTCTCTCCAGGGCAAGGTGATGAGAGACGGGTTGTTGGAGAAGCGCAGCAGCGGGCTCCTCCAGCTGTGGAAGAAGAAACGCTGCGTACTCACCGAGGACGGGCTGCGCCTGCACGACTGCAAGGGCAGCGGTGGTGGGGATGCTCCAAGCTCGGCGTTGAGCTCCAAAGCCAAGGAACTCCGCTTTGAGCGCATGGCCACGGTGGACTGTGTGGAGTACAAACGAGGGCTGGTGTACTTCACTGTGGTCATGGCCACGGGGAAGGAAATTGACTTTCGCTGTCCCCAAGAGGGTACGGCATGGAACGCGGAGATTGCTTTGGCCCTGGTGCGCTATAAGAACCTGCTGGCAGTTCAGACAGGGAGGAACCGACACTTGTCTAAAGCAAACCTGGGTAGTACCGGGGAGGATGAAGAGCTCTGAATCGATGAAGGTAAGCGTCCCTCGGGTGGATGTGATGTGAACTGGGGTTGTAGCGTCGCCTCTTTATTCTCTTTAAACTTCAGTTATATCATTTGTTTGGGGGACAGATTGTGGCATCACATCCTCCTATGGCTGGAATAGCTCATGGACTACTCCCAGTCATTTTGTGTCATTGAGATTGACAGTGAACCCTAAGCCAATGCATCAACTAAATATCTCAAGGGTAAATGACATAAATTGCTATCTTTTTCTTCCCAGCCACAGACTCTTAACCATTTGCCACCAAAAGTCTCCAAATAGTCTTCCTCCTCTGTGTTGGAAGCAGTGCTAACAGTTGAAAGAGGGCGGTGCTATGACAGGACAGAATGAAAACATCCAGCCTTTTGGACATGAGGTGCCACAGCCACCGGTTAAGCTCATGCCAAATGTCCCACTTCAGTTTAGATTTGTCATGTCATTTTCCTTGTTGTAGTCTTCAGCCTTTACTGCATCAGAGTCTTCATTGGACACAAACCCACTCTCACTTGAGGACATAATTATGATGTAACATGAGCCTCCAAAATAACATCTGCCTGCCTCTCCCTCTCTAGGCAGCCAAGTATTTTTAAACACACACGCAGCTTTCTCATATGTACTGTATATATCTAACATAAAGACAAGTGAATATTAGGGTTCACCAGAGCTAAGTATTCCATACTGCATGCCTTATCCTCTTTTTAAGTTTTAAAAGACAGTTAATGGCATCAGAACCGTGTTATTTGCTAAAAACAGATTGCTGAAATCTCAAATGCTCATGAACCCAGTAAGTATGAACTATGAGCTCACACTCCAGGAATCCACAGTGATGCTTCCTTAAGAGAGCTCCAGTAGTCAAGTGCCCAAATTAACTTAGTAGCTGTGGTAACACTGTACTACTGTAAAACTCACTACAAATGCACTTTGTACAACACCATCATCTGCATCAGCCTCCAATATGTCGACTATGGGCTGAATACTAAACATTCTGTTTTTCTTTCTCCAGCCTTTCTAGTGTCCTGAGGGTGAACCAGTCAGAGCGGAGGTGGGAGGACACCATCCTTGCGCTGGCTCGATTCTTTTGGATACAGCATGAATGTGGATTCAAGGACTGAGAAAAAGTGTTAAAGACAACTGTCTTGACTTCCTACGAGCATATTCACATTGTCAAAACATAGGAATCAGATGTAAAATGATTAAAACTGTTTTTTTTTTGTGTCATGACCTTGTTGAATGAGGTCAATGTGGAGCTCGCTGCATAAGGGAAAGATGGGTTTTTTTGTGAACTGAGTCTGTAGCACTAACACATTGTTTGCCCACTTTGCCTTGATGTTTCAACATACTTCTATTTCGAGCAGCTTTCAACGCTGCTGAAACAGGAGTCACTTTGTTCAGTCTCATTTTTAATGGCAATACGTCATTTGGCTTTGAAAACTTTTGTTATAGACTGATCAGATCAGCATGTTTTTCTAAAGCTGAGCATGAAGAATGCACTTTGTAAACCTTACTATATATTTGCTGAAACCATGTACAGTATTATTCTTAAAAAGATCAAATAAATTTTTACAGTAAACCTGAAATACTGATATATTTCACTTGAGTTTCTATTTTTTCTTCTTCATTCTGTTCTGTTCCTCAGTTCTCCACACTGGAACATACAATGTTTCTGAGAGCTAAACAGTAATCTGTTATGTATTTTAGGTTTTAAACTCATCTGTTTCCAGTTGTTGTGTAACTTTGCTGTTATACCCTCTGGAAAATACACACACCCCAGATGCATAGACGCACACGCTGTGACTTTGCTATTGTGCTCTTGCATTTATACTGAAGCTGTGAAGCTTTTGTTCTGAGTGGTGTGGTGGACTAATGAGGAGCGGAGTGAGCCTGAGGCATGTGCACACAATCATCCACCCACACATACACACCTACAAGAGCTTGCATGCACACCCAACATGAAATTCAGCACGGGCTCAGCATCAGCAGACTCGTCAGCGAGGCCTACATTGTATTGTTCGTTCGAGCTTCTGTTGTGTAAGTGTCAAGAATATAGCAGCCTATGTGTGGTTGTGGAGCCCAGCGCAGGTCAGGGATAAAGCCTCGATTGTGTAGCGACTTCTCTCATTACTGTGGAAAACCCCAAAGCCAGCCACACCGCATGAGTCAGCAAGGGAATGGGAGCCATGCAAGGAGTGGATAGATCACTGTGCTGAACAGTGAGTGTGTAAGCAGGTGTGCACACAAAGAGTACTGTATGTGAAGGAGATCTGTGGAAAAGTCAATGGTAGCTATGCACTGTATGTCCTAAAAATCTAGTTCTTCAGAGTGTGTATGCTCACACTAGTCAGTGGAATGCCCTGTCTAAATACCATAACCTCTGCTCAGGACATCTGGTTTTCGCAGCAGGCAGGTTCACACATATACTGTACAGTACAGAGACCTTTCTAAGCGGATCAGGGTTTATTGGTTGCTCCTCGCTCCAGACTAAAACTAAAGGAGGCTTCCAGTACTTACTGCACTGACAGTACCTGTTGTTTCATAAGCCCAACCCTAAAACACAGGCCAATCTAGAGTTGAATGGATGTTTGTCAAATCAGGGATTAACAATGTTCATCTTGTTTTAACTCATGCCACAACAAACAGACCTGTTATCTAACCAGTTTATCAGTGCTTTTGGGAAAAATAATTATGTATGCACATATTTATTTGACCAGAACTCAAGATTGCACTTCAAAATGTTTTAAAGGTGACATTTTTCCTTTTTGGGCATCAGCTTGTTAGGTAATTTCTTAGTTAGATAGATAGTGATTAGAGATCTGTTGTATTAGAAAATGTTAGTGTAGCCAGGATGTCTTGCTCAGGCTGTTAAATGCTCAGTTCATTGTCATGAGTTCTGCAGGCTGCATCTAGGCCAAGGTCACTAGATTGAAGAGTCTGCAGGCAGGATGAATATTGTTAGTAGCATGATATGTTCAGCCGTAATCTTAATCATAATATCTTCCGAGGCTTACTGTTCGGACATGTCCCTGAATGTCCTGTATGTTTTTAGATACACACCACATAATCAACACTCACACACACATTGATTCTCTCCATGTTTTGACTACTGCTACGGCCAGCTGTGAAGCTGGCATATCAGGTGACGTCACGGTT